GTTATGTTTTATTCTTGTTATCTTGACACAGTGTTTTATATTTTGCAGTTGATGAAGCTTTTGAACGGGAACAGGCAACTCAAGAATTGAATGAAAGCAATGAACAAAATACTGTCGCGGAGGAAGGAGGGGAAGAGCAAGAGGAGGAAACCGTCCCCTTAACACTGGAAGAAAGAGAAAACAAAGATTACCTTAAATCTTTGTTTGAAATCTTGATCCTAATGGGTAAACAAAATATTCCTTTGGACGGCCATAACATTGATGAGCTTCCAGAAGGTATTTTTACTTCAGATAACTTTCAGGCTCTACTGGAATACAGAATAAATGCTGGAGATGAAGTTCTGAGGAAACGATTTGAGATGACTGCGGTCAATCTTGAGTATTGTTCGAAAACGCAGCAGAAACAAATGCTTGAGATCTGCGAAAGCTGTATCAGAGAAGAGACACTGAGGGAAGTAAGAGACTCGCATTTCTTTTCTATTGTCACAGATGAAGTAGTAGACATAGCAGGAGAGGAACATTTGCCGGTGTTGGTGAGATTTGTCGATGATTCTCATAATCTAAGAGAAGAATTCGTAGGGTTTTTGCCATACGAGGCCGATCCTGAGATTTTAGCTGTTAAGTTCCACACGACTATCACTGAGAAGTGGGGTCTGAACATGGAGTACTGTCGAGGTCAAGCCTACATCGTCTCCAGTGGGTTTGCTTCTAAAATGAAAGTTGTGGCTACAAGACTCTTGGAAAAGTACCCACAAGCTGTGTATACGCTGTGTTCCTCGTGTGCCTTAAACATTTGGCTGGCAAAATCCGTTCCTGTCGTTGGGGTTTCCATCGCGCTGGGAACCATCGAAGAAGTCTACTGTCTTTTTAACCAGTCCCCGCAATTGCTGGTAGAACTGGACAACACCATTTCTCTTCTTTTTCAGAACAACGAGCAGAAGGGCAACCAGCTGAAGGAGATCTGCCGTTCTCAGTGGACGGGCAGGCACGACGCTTTCGAGGTGTTAGTGGACCTCATGCAGGCCTTGGTGCTGTGCTTGGATGCGGTAGGCAACGACTCATCCGTCAGGTGGAACAACTTCATTGCTGGTCGAGCATTTGTACTTTCCAGCGCGTTGACAGACTTTGACTTCATTGTCACTATTGTCATCCTGAAAAACGTTCTGTCTTTCACGAGAGCGTTCGGAAAAAATCTCCAAGGACAAACCTCAGATGTCTTCTTCGCTGCCGGCAGCTTAACAGCAGTGTTACATTCTCTGAACGAAGTGATGGAGAACATTGAAGTTTACCATGAGTTTTGGTTTGAGGAAGCAACGAATTTGGCTACGAAACTGGATGTACAAATTAAACTCCCAGGAAAATTTCGCAGGTCGCGACAGGGGAACTTGAACTCTGAGCTAACGTCAGAAAATTACTACAAAGAAGTCCTTAGTGTCCCCACGGTGGAGCACATTATTCAAGAATTAAAAGATATTTTCTCAGAACAACATTTAAAAGCTCTAAAGTGTTTATCATTGGTGCCCTCAGTCATGGGGCAGCTGAAATTCAATACGTCCGAGGAGCATCATGCTGACATGTACAAAAATGACTTGCCTAATCCGGACACGCTATCCGCTGAGCTTCACTGTTGGAGAATCAAGTGGAAGCACCGAGGAAAAGATATTGAACTTCCAGCTACTATTTATGAAGCACTTCATTTGCCTGACATTAAGTTTTTCCCGAATGTTTACGCCTTGCTTAAAGTCTTGTGCATCCTTCCAGTGATGAAGGTGGAGAACGAAAAATACGAAATAGGACGAAAGCGCTTGAAGGCGTACCTGAAAAACACCTTGACAGAGCAAAGGTCGAGCAACCTGGCTTTGCTGAACATAAACCTTGATATAAAACACGACTTAGATTTAATGGTGGACACCTACATTAAACTCTACCCAGAAAAAGTGGAATTTCAGGAAGACTTTATTTCCTCAAACAACCCTCGAGTGACAGAAGAGGCTTAATTTTTTTTTTAAGCTCTACCTAATCTGTTGAAGCAGATTTTTCTTAATTAAGTCTCAACGCTGAGGAAAAAATGTGAAATCTTAAAAATCATGGCAATTGTATTTCCATTTTAGGTCTCGGACTGGAGAAGCTGTGGTCAGTGACCCAAATTATGTTTTGTTAGTCTGCATTAAATGTGTTACGCGAACAAAGCCAGGCCTGAAAATAAGCCCATGCTCTTGGCAGAGGTGCTTTCTATATCTTAATGATTGACTTAATTAGGTGCTCGTTTACTTTATGGCATCTTGGAAAAAGGACATTATGATTGTAGATCTGGTGGGGCTGTTACATATTTGCTCATGAATTAGGATAAGAAAAAAAAAAA